CATGTCAACTGCTCGGTCAGTAGCCTCGACCAACCAGAACGCACCGCGTGGCAGAGACGCTGATGTGGGAGGTCACGTGGACGATCCGCGTACGTGCAATCGAACGGTTGAGATCTGTTCCCGCATGCACGGATGGCCCAGATCAAAAACGCGCACGGACAGCCCAGATTGCACGCTCACGGATGGCCCAGATTGCATGCACACGAACGGTCCATATTGAATCGCGCACGGATGGCCCAGATTACATCGCGATGAACGACCCAGATTCATTTCCTATTTAATTGCGATAGAACGGTCCAGACTGAATTGCGATGGACGGCTCAAATTAAAAGTGGATGGTTATAAATAATCTCATCCGCAGCCAAATCCTAACCTTAGCCGCCAAAGCCCCTCGCCGCAGAAGACAGCCCAGCCGCTGGGGAGCTGACCGCTGTCACTGGCCGCCGCATCGGAGCAATTTTCGGCCGCCAAACGAGGTAAAAATTCTCCCCTTTGCTCAGAATTCGATTCTACACCCACCTATGGCCAAATCGGAGCTAAAACACCAGCCAATTGGCCGAAAAATACCGTCGAAGCCCAGCAGCATTGCCGCTGGTTGTCTCAGTTTTTGCCTCCGATGAGGCCCTTTCCGATTCCCAAGAAAGAGAATTGTATTCAAGAGATTTCGATAGTCCGAGACTTTCTAGATGTGTTTTCAGACGAACTATCTGAACTACCAGTGGACAGGGAAGTCGAGTTCACAATAGATCTATAGCCAGACACTCAGCCTATTTCAGTTGCTCCTTACCGCATGAGCTGCGTTGAGATGGAGGAGCTGAGAAAACAAATCACTGAATTGCAAGACAGTGATTTTATCAGACACAGTATGTCTCTTTGGGGTGCCGAAGTCACTTTTGCCAGGAAGGGAGATGGAACGTTGAGACTATGTATTGATTACAGAGGATTGGACATGGTCACAATCAAGAACAAATATCCCCTTCCAAGAATTGATGACCTCTTCGATCAGCTGCAGGGTGCGCAAATCTTCTCTAAAATAAATCTGCGATCAGGTTACCATCATGTGAAAATAAGGGCTAAAGAAATCCCTAAGATGACTTTTCGAACCAGGTACAGACACTATGAGTTCCTGGTCATGCCATTCGGGCTAAGCAATGCCCTAGCTATCTTTATGTATCTGATGAACAGGGTCTTTAGACAATTCCTAGATCAATTTGTTATCGTGTTTATCGATGACATCCTACTCTACTCAAAAAGTAGGGAAAAACATGTTCACCATTTAGCCTAGGTTTTACAGATTCTTAGAAGAAAGAAGCTGTATGTAAAGTTGAGTAAGTATGGATTCTGGCTTGAGCAGATCGCCTTCCTAAGGACACATCATATTAAAAGATAGAGTATCAGTGAATCTCAAAAAGGTCGAAGTGGTACTCGGTTGAAAGAAATTGACATCAGTTAAGGAAATCTGTAGCTTTCTGATAATGGTGGGCTATTACCGCAGTTCGTCGAAGGATTTTCCAGTCTAGTGGCTCCCCTAACCCAACTCATAAAGAAGAATGTCAAGTTTGAGTGGAATGAGAACTGTGAAAGAAGTTTTTCAGAATTAAAGAAGCGGCTGACTACTGCACCCGTGTTGGCCTTACCCAGTGGATCGAGGGGATATACAATTTATAGTGATGCCTCATATCTAGGCCTGGGTTATGTTCTAATGCAGCATGAAAAAGTCATAGCCTATGGGTCCAGACAGTTAAAGAATCATGAGAAGAATTATCCCACCCATGACTTAGAGCTTGCCGCAATCATACACGCCTTGAAAATTTGGCGCCATTATTTATATGCAGAGACCTTTAAGATCTATACCGATCATAAGAGTTTGAAACACATATGCACTCAAAAGGATCTCAATATGCATCAGAGAAGGTGGATAGAACTTCTTAAGGACTATGATTGTGATATCTTGTACCATCCGGATAAGGACAACGTGGTAGCTTATGCTCTCAGCAAGAAAAGTGCAAGTATCTTAGCCCATTTGATGGTTTCAGAATGCAGGCAAATTGGGGCCACACAACAGGTTCGACTTCAGGACTTAAAGAGAGTCACATGTTTGGGCAATTTGACCGTCCAGCCCGAGTTAATCCAGAGAATAAGGGAAGCCCAGTCAGTCAACCCTGCCCTAGTAGCCCTCAAGAGCAATGCAGAATAGGGAGTTAACTCAGAATTTTGAGTCTCTGCCGATGGGTTACTCCGATTCCAGGACAAAGTGTGTGTCTCAGGTGATAGTGAGTTAAAGAGAGACATCATGATAGAGGTCTATAGCTCAAAGTTTGTAATGCATCCCGGAAGCACCAAAATGTACCAATGCATGCGACTCCGGTTTTGGTGGAGTGAGATGAAAAGAGACATAGTTGACTTTGTGTCTAGATACTTGGTATGTCAGCAGGTCAAGGCGGAGCATCAGTGCCCCGGCGGGTTACTTCAGCCTTTACCGATCGCGGAGTGAAAGTGGGAACATATCACCAAGACTTCATAACAAGGTTACCTAAGGCGCGCTCAGGACATGACACCATCTAGCTAATTGTTGACCGGCTTACCAAGTCATCCCACTTCTTAACCATCAAAATGACCGATCCCTTGGATAAGTTGGCAAGAATGTATATCCGAAAAATAGTCAGATTGCATGGAGTCCCAGTGACAGTGGTGTCCGACAGGGATCTTAGGTTCAATTCTCAGTTTTAGAGTAACTTTCAGCAAGCCATGAGAACGAAGCTGTCCCTCAGAACTGCCTTCCACCCTCAGACTGATGGACAATCAGAAAGGACAATCTGTACACTTAAAGATATGCTTCGAGCTTGTGTCTTTGACTCTGGGGGCCATTGGGACGACTATCTGCCCCTAATAGAATTTTCCTACAACAACAGCTACCAAGCAAGCATTGGCATGACTCCATATGAGGTGTTATATAGGCGTCCATGCAGATCGCTGATTTGTTGCGAAGAAGTGGGCGATAGAAAATTGTTCGGCCCGGAACTGGTAGATGAGACCACATCCAAGATAGTTAAGATCAGGAGGAGCATTCAGATGACTCAGAGCAGGCAGAAGAGTTACGCGGACACTTGGAGGAGAGATTTAGTGTTTGAGAAAGGTGACCGGGTGTTGCTCAAGGTCACTCCTTTCAAGAAAATTAGTAGGTTCTGCATGATGAAAAAACTGAACTCCCGATTTATTAGACCATTTGAAGTCTTAGACATGATTGGTACCGTCGCTTACAGACTAGTACTGCCTTCAGAAATTTCTAAGGTCCACAATGTGTTCCATGTATCCATGCTACGCAAGTACAACCCGGACCCCTCTCATGTCTTGGCTCATGAACCGCTTCCACTCCATGAGGACTTATCTTATGAGGAAGTACCCGTTGGCATTACGGACCGAAAGAACAGATTACTCCGCAACCGAAAAATATCCTTTGTAAAGGTCGTATGGCAGAACCACACGCTAAGGGAGGTTACATGAGAGCTAGAATCAGACTTTAGAGCCCAATAACCCCAGTTGTTCGATCAAGAATAATAGTAAAATTTGAAGGACTAAATTTCTTTAAGTGGGAGAGA